GGAAGGGCTCCTGCGAGTTGACCAACTGTCGCCCAAGACCTGTGGCTCCCTGCGGTCTACTCGCACAAATCCCAGACACTCCATGTATGCCATATATGCCGCCCCATTGACCCCCAAAACTACCCCAATGTAGGCATATATGGCATACATGGAGTGTCTGGGAATGTCTTACGGAGTCTTCTGAAAGAACAACGCTGGTGTAATATATGGGCAATCGATAGGTTTGATCATCTTCGTGCTTCGTCCTGTGGTGCTTCATCCGGCCACCAGCAGCGGTTCAAAGGAGCACAAACGGCAGCGAAATGCTCCAAGTTCACCTGGACGTTGAAACAAAGAAACGGGTCTGGAGAGGCGGGTGTGACTCTCATGAGCACTGAATCTCGATGTACTTATGGCCATGTGATGCCATGCTCACATTTCATCTTGGCTGACATCTCTGTTATGCAAAGGCGTCCCAATCTGCAGCTCTTGAACAGCATGTGGTTATTTCAAGATCCCCACACATGGCAGGTAAGAATCCATCACCAGGTCGACCGGAACGTTGCACAACGACCTGATGCGACTCACTGGAGGTCCGAATGACTGAGGTTCCCATGCACGTCCATCTCTTCCCATCTCTTTCTTCGAAAAGACATCAACACATAACCCCCCAACAAAGGTGCCAGGGCGCGCCAGTTCACCCACCAGCACTCCAAGCCACCAGATCTCACCCTTCCCTTCACCCACCAGCACTACCCACCTCACCCCTGCACCCCACCCTTCGTGGCCGCGCCTGCACGGAGTGGCCGGTTTCGCCTTCTCCCGATGCCACGACCTGCGTCGCTGCGCCGCGCTCGGTGTCGGTCGACTGCGTGGCGTGGCGGAGCTCTGGGCGATGCTTGTCCCAATTTCTGACGACGAAGCCTGTGGTGTCATGCAATGAGACCAAGCCAACATCGAAGACAGGAGGATTCAAGGCGAGGTTGCCAATGGTCAACTCGAGAGTATACATGTATCATCCTCTGTATCATCCTCTGCCTGGATTTCGACTCCTTGGTTTCTTAAGCTTCCTGCCAAGGATACTGTAATCTTCTTCTTGGAGAACTTCTCCGTCCGCTTTGGATCATCACGTCCTTCTTGGATGTCACTCCATCACCATGCAAAACATGGTCGGAAAACTTCTCCCCCAAAAATCTGCTGAGCGGCATGGTCGGGCTTCAATGCCTTGTGCAAAGTACATTGACAGGTACATAGACTTGTTTAGTCTCAGAATCGATTTGCTGCCGTCAAACGGAAAAATCCAAGCTCATAGGTACATGGCTGCTGTAGCAACTCAAAAATTCTACCCAAGCGTCACCTTTGCCCAAGTTGTCCTTGTAGATTAGCGCAAAAATTAATAAACATGACATCAATATGTCCAAAACTAGATCATGGCTGGGAAATGCTGGGAAGTTCTCATTCATGAAAAACAAACACAAAAGAAAACGATGTGCCCATGACGCATGGACGGTGCAAAACGTTGGAAAGCTGGGCGATGGGATGTTGTCAGCAAGTAGGCAGCCCAGTTGCCGCATCTTGCCACACTTGCTGGTGTAGCCCCCCCCAAAACCAACGGACTGGAGTTGCTTGCCGAGAACGGTGGGGTGCCAAATCGACTTGAGGACTGGAGCCGCGCCATCCATCCCGGGCGGCCGCGCCAGAATCCCCAACTCCCTGGTATCGTCCTGGTGTCGTGGCGAAGCGGGGAATGCATTGGTTTGGGGAAAAAAGACATTGGGGTGCAGCGCAGGTGGGTTCCAGGATGGTTTTTATTGGAGTGTACAAAGCATAGGACAAGAAGAGCAAAGTTGTTTTGACTCGCTCGAGGTCCTCGAGGTATGCTGAGGTGTACTTCTGGGATTGTTTCTTGATTAAGATTGAGGCGATGATAGAAAACCAATGCTTAGGCTTAGCTGCTTCGGACCGGCGTGGGAGTCCACACCCGAACGGAAGGGCAACGATTGGTCGCCGTTCCTCTCGACAAGCCACCTGAGGTGGCTTGTAGAGCTTGTAGATTGGAGGTTGCAAACCCTTTTTAAAGCCCCTACAACAGTTCTCTGCCCAAACCTACCAGGTGTAGAACTGTTTCTACAGATAAAGCCCCTACAACATCGAAAAACCATGGAAAAACACATTAGAAGCACACGACCCATGGGCAGTCCATCCCTCTATCCCCCGAACCCGTGTGGGACTGGCATAGGACTGCCGATCAGGGTCAATGTAGGTGGTTGTTTCGGGGTCCATAGGCATATATTCCATACCTGCACCCTCCAGCAGGTGTTTCCTGGTGACAACAGGTGCCCAGAAACCACCGGTTAGGGTCTCCAAACAGTATGGCCAGGAGGGTCCTGGTACATGGAGTATCTGGGATCTTTGAGACTCAAAGGATCCTGAACGATGCGAAGGATCGCCCCGCGAAGCCTGCGCGCACCGAAGCGTGCGAGATCCCGAAGCGTGCGGACGCTTCCTTCACGCCCCCGAAGTGTGCGGGTCGTCCCCCATTGCCGTGGTGGAAAGGCTTCCTTCGCCACCAAGCGCCGGTGAACCGCATGAACCGTGCATAGAAAAAGGACACCCGGGCGAGCTGCAGCGTCGAAACATGGAAGTTTAGAACCCATGGCCCTCTTCGAATGTGACCTTCCAGATGTCCGGCCTCCAGGATAGCATCTTCTGCAGTGGCAAGGACCTGCATCGACCGCTCTCGAACGAAAGACATCGGACTCCGAGACGGTGCTTTTGCAGGACATCCGGAGCTAATCCAGAAAGCTCGGCAACATCGACGAATCGACGAGTTCCGACCATGGGTTCCTCTAGAAATACATGTCAGAACTTCCAATGACTCATGAACTACTCCACCTGGTAGTCAATCCATCCACCACTACCATTGGGGTAAAATCTGTGACTGGACTCTTAGAGTAATCTGTACCACCTTCAAAGTGACCCCTATCGTATCGCAGTCTCTGTTTGTGACCTCATCCTGTATACAGGGATTTCTCTGTTCAAACCATAGATATCGATTGTATATACTGTGTCTCAGATGAAGTCCTTGACCAAGACGAACGGACTGGGAAACCTTTCACTTCGACTGCTATGACCCAAACACTCCATGTATGGCATGGAATACATGCATGCATTGACCCCCCAAACCACCCCAATGCAGGCAAATATGACATACATGTGGGTGATGGATTTATCGTAAGCTTGACTTCGTTCACCAAAGGCATGGCAGGATCACATGAATCCAGGACAGAATTGGAGGCTCTTTTTCTTTTGCACTGGGACTGGGACAACACATCGGATTTTCAGGTGGGTGCAGGGGCCCATGGCTACCAACTCCTTCGAATTGCTTCAGACACCTATAGCGGATGTTTTGGTTGGTTCACACCCTATGAGTGCGCATTAGTGGATCCATTGGGCACCGAAAGGGCACGTGTGAAATTCAGAAGAATCTCTCACTGTTGGTCCATCCGTGGAAGGCTTTTCGACATGAGCCTGAAGGTTTCTTCTGGCCAGGCGGCCTGCCTCACTTCGGACTCCAGCATGGCTCGCTGAAGATGGGGTCTATCGCCCAAAACCAGTGGGTGACTTCGGCGAAACCGACCGAAAACCCACGGAGCCGTTCGAATTCGATCACTGAAAACCAGAGAGACACAGAGACACAAAGAGCTCAAGACCTCCGACAAGTGGCGCGCAAGCTCAAGACCTCCAGAGCTTGTATACCTCGAAAAAGAGAGATGTAGACGGAGATATCTATACCAGGACCTTCAAAGTTTGAGATCCCAGCATAAGATCACGAAACGACCTGCCCAAGGCCACTTAGATCCACTTAGAGTCCTCAAAAAGGTCACGAACTGAAGGTCCTGGTACCTCTTTGGTCCACTGATCTCCTTCCTCCTTTCTGCGGTCTCGGAGATCTCCTCCACCAACCCGCTGCGCCCGCTGCACTGCGCGCCGTCCAAAACCAACCAACACCATGTGGCTCCGTGTGTTTACGCTCCGTGTGTTCACAGCCTCCACCTCCGAAGGGAGCCAGAACCTGGTGGAAGCGGTTGGGCCCGGGCTCCCCGAAGCGGCGGGCGACGCTCAGACGGGCTCGGACGTATCGGGTGAAACCCCCGGGGGACCCAGGGAGCGCGTGGAAGCCGCGCAGCAGAGTCTGAAGTGAGCAGGGGCAGTGAGAAATCGGCAACGGAGTGGGGAGGGGGGTGCGAAGTTTTTTCTTTAAAGATTGTTCAATTTTAGTTCATATCCACTGGATGGGACGAAAATTGTATTCCAAAATTACCCAACTCCTAATAGTCATATAGTCTGTCAGAGATGGTGAACTTGAAGAGGCTTTGGCAGGTTCAGGTATTGACACAGCCATCAGTGTGGAGGCCTCAGTTCAGGCAAAATGTCCCTCAGTTCAGGCAGGACGAGAAGTTCTCATCAGCATGGTCCCTCTTCCCGGAGGTTTCAACCGGACCAGTGAAAGTTTCGACCAGCAACACAAGGTCAGCATGTTTGTGGATTAAACAACGAATGGTTCTTCCTTTATAGAATCCATGCTGTTGATGATACTTGGAACCCCAAATCGCCTTTCTTCGTCTATGAGTGCAATTGGTTCATCAGGTGCGAACTTCGATCTCTGCACATTGTCACGCTGTCCTTCTCTCATCGCAACTGAACTACATCGCAACTACGGTGATAGTAAACATCAACTATCTCTGACATGGGAGTCTAAGAGTCTGTGTGACTCTAGACTCCATGTCCAAGCAAGTAACCCCAAGTAATCCAATACATCCCTATATTAAATAACGTCCACATAAATCCATCACTCTGGACATCACAAAACACCAGGACATGAGATGAACAATTGATCACCCATCCCTTAAGGGGGGAGGTGGGGGGACCTTCCACGTCTTTTCCGAATGACACAGCAGTGACCCACCTGGTCAGCAACTCTTCGGACCGACTCGGCCGTCGCGTGGCGGGGCTGGCGCTTTTTTTCTTCGCCTTTTCGGACGGTTCGTTCAGGGGATGCCTGGCAGGATGCTGTCAGGTTCAGGCGCTTGGGGCTTCCAGCTCTGAAGAGGTGTGTGGGCCTTGTGGTTTCGGTTGCCAGGACCTTCCCAGACCCAAACTTCAGTGTTGGCACAATGCGATGTTGTGCCGAGTTGTGTTCATGATTCTTTTTTTGAACGACTCATCATGTGTTGCGGAGAGTGGGAAGCCTGGGAAGATGGGATGAGCACATCATCCTGCGATCATCTGGCAATTCTATAGTGGAACGCCCTCAGACTCAGATGCCAAATGATGTACGGACTCTTGTGGAGCACTTCCCATGTTCCACACCGTGCTATCATCCGTAGAACACCCAAGACATCGGTGAACCAAACCAGGCAGTTTCTGGAGCCTGTTTGCTGATTTATCCATTTCATGGCCCAAGCACTCCATGGGATTGACATATTTCCCTACATTGGGGTGGTTTCAGGGATCAATGGGCATATATATATATATTCCACAATATTCCATACATGGAATGTGTGTGGTTTTTGCGGCGTTGCCTTCCACCAACAATGATGACATCCCACTATTCTGCGCAAAGTCAGCGGCCACCTAATGGTGGTTCGTGTACAACACACCCATCTTCTGCATGTGCTTTGGACCGGATGGTCCTTCCATGTCCTTCCCTCCTTCCCGGCCAAAGCGGTGCGCTTTGACCGACCCTCCGCGCCGTCGCAGCCGGTTTCGCCGCTGACCACTCGCAGCTGCCGCGGACCGACGGCTACTCCTCGAGGCTCGGCGCAAAGGCGCTGCCGTCGGGGAAAATCACCTGGTGAGGCGCCGAGGGCGAGAAGGACCAGGCATGCATGTGGAAAAGCGTTTTGAAATGGTCCGGCATAGTGGGGAGTGCGTGGTCAACACCGCATTATTGTTGGATTTTCCAAAGATGATCGCACTTGAATTGGAAGTCTACTTGGAAACACCGTGTGCAAACCATGACTTTAGCACTCAATCAAGCTTGCTTAACCCTGGTCTGTACGGATATTGCACCGAACACCCTGCAGGTCTGTGTGTGGAAACGTTGAACGCAATGGATATAGTTGTTCATGCACGCAACACACAAAAACCACACACCTGCAACAAAGCAAAACACATGAGCTAGGGACCCTCAATGGAGTGCTAGCAGCTAGCAGGTGTTTTGCCACCATTTCGTGGACGAAAACACGAGAAAACACGAGATAACGGTCATCGACCGACCCAGTCGTCGTCTCCCCAGTCGTCCTCACACACACCCAGTCGTCCTCCCAACCCCAGCGCACTCCATGGGGGACGACGGGAATCGTGGTCACACCTCTGCCAATGAATATCGAGAGTTGCATATGCCGTCACAGAGCTTGGGCTGCCGAAGCAATGGAGGAAGTGGGCACCTGCCCGTGTCACAAGCTCTTGAGGTCGAGCCGCGCCATCAAGCAGTTCATCGTGTTCCTCACAGGGCACTTCCTCCTGTCGTTGCTCCAATAAGCCAATGCCGATCCTCAGTGACACCGTCGGAGCTGAAGCTGGTTCCCTGAATAAAAAACCGTCATTCAACCAAACACACACACATCGCATATTCTGTTGTCCGGACCTGGGGCTTCAAACAATCACAAAGTTCAAAATTGAAAGTTTCACGAAATGACACAACCAATGAACTGTATCATAAGGCATGATGTTTCATACTACTCCTAATCTCTATAAATCTCAACATATAGTTGAACAGCACCATCATGAATCAACGACGATGTCGCTACGCCTCATGACCCCATTCCCAGCATCTTCCAAGCAAAAACACCCAAAGTCGCACCGGTCCCAAACAAGAGATATTCAATCCCATGGATGGCCGATGATGGCCGTGCAAGGGTGCATGTCAAAGCATGTCTTGAACACCTCCAAAACGCATTTTTGTTTCGCATGTCGGCGCTGTAGAACCAACATCTTTTGATGTACCCAAACGCTCCTGGACCCTCATATGCAGGGGTCGGACCCTCATATTGAAGGGTCCGGACCCTCAAATCCCTATGGTTTTGAAGGCCCAAGGGCTGTTTGGAGCATCTGGGTGGGTGTCCAAAAACCACACAGATCGATGTGCGTCCTCAGCCGTGGCCCGAACATGCGGCCCGAACTCTTCCGTCCCAGTCCGTCCCCCACCCGTCTCCGCGGCACGTCCGCAGCGGGAGCCTCTCGGGCGGCCGGTCTCGACGAGCTCGCTGGATGTAACCTGCGAAGCGCGGAGACGGCGGAGAAGGCGGAGAGCAGAGACATGATGAGATGGCAATTTGATAAATACATACTCCTAATATCTCCTAATATTGAAACAGCAACATGACTAACACTGTAAAGTTTGTATCAGCAAATCTTTATCTTCATCAATTTTTCTTTAAATGAAATTCGGAGCTGCTACATTGATTGAACAACTAGCTCAATAGTCCACACATGGAGTGTTTGCACTTCAGAATCTGGAGTGGTGAGGGAGAACGAAAATGAACAAGTCTTCTGCACAAATATTTTGGTGAACTCAAATAACGTGGGTGACAAATGGGTAAAAAGGATATGACAGCAGCTGGACATGTGAGGTGATCACAAGCACCAAAGTATCTCATTTTCTCAGGAGGGATCCAAAGGTCCTAAATGACTTGATCACCTTCGATCGACATCCAGATCTGCACCCTAAAATTCACCTCTTCTTCGAAAACACCGTTCGCCTGAGACAATCACTCGTCCAAATAGTACTAACATTATATGAACTGGGCACCTCCCCAGTTCGAGGATGTCTGTCTCCATAACACTGACCTTCGGTGTTTTCCGATGTCATGGTGCCCGAAAGACCCATCGACCATCAGGGTCCATCCACGACCCAGAAGGTCTACTCCGCGTGGAAGTGAAGTGAAAGAGACCACACCCGGGTGGTCGAACCCCCTGGTCGAAGCATACTTGGTCGTGTTACTTGGGGGCCATAGCTGTAGGTCGAGTCAAAGACCTTTCCATACATGGAGTGTCTGGGGTTTTTCGCTGGAGGTCCAGGTTGCGATCTCCAGATAACACGCAACGACCACCACGCCACGCCACTGGAAATGGGGTACGTGTTCATGTGGAGGACCCCCCTCCAACCCAAGTGGAACAGTGATGAGCATATTATGGGATTGTCATGTCTTCTCATAACCCAAATTCTATTGATGTGACCGGCCAATTGATCAACACTTGAGAGAGGAGGGGGTGAACGAAAGGTAGCAGGCAATCACAAGCAACCCTGGTAAAAGTCCATGACGGCGTGAACCGGCGAAGGGTGGATTTGATCCAGGGGGCCCCCCCCCCACGAACAGAATCAACTCTTACAGGACCAAACTCAATGCACAATCCCAACTCCTGATTGTAATACATTTTTGCTAAAGCAAGGAGAACTCAGGTAGCTCAAGCTACCTTTCGTGAATTGGGATGGTTTCAGACGGTTTCAGGGGTCAATGTACATCAATGTACCCTCCCTGCAACAACCCTAAAAAGGGATGTTCACCCCCCTCTTGGTAGAGGAAAATCGTCCTTCCAAGGGGTCATTGTCACTGAACCGTGATTTTTAGGAGGACGAGTGTGTGGAACTGCGTGTTGCACCATCTGAAATGCACCGAATTCAAGGCTGGTGGAGCCCTGCAGATCAGATCCATCCCTCTTGAGGTGAGCGTTCGTGTTGTTTCTTTGGTGGATCCGCAACCATGGGACATCGTGGGATCCCGTGGGGGGACCCCATGGGATCCGCACACACACCCAAAAACCCCCTCCGTCCCGGTCGTTCCGGTCGTGGAGCGATCGTAGAAACCCATGCCCTGACCGCAGCGCCGCCTCGTCAAGGTGTCGAGATGTCGACGTGCGCGGCTGGCACCCACCCCAAGTCCCACCTTCGAAACGGAGGTAGGCCAGGAGCCCTATAGGGATATTTTCCACTTCATGTCGGGGTACCTTGAGGTCTATGCCTGGCTTAGCCCCTTGTGATTTGAACCGAAGTGAACCGAACGGCAACAAATGAGGCAACCCAGCCTAAAAAACAAACAGCTGCATGGTGTGTAGATCACTTGCTTCCTAAACAAGATCTCATTCCTTCCCAACTTTTGTGTCGACGAATTAATTACGGAAGATCGAATGCCGAATACCACAAGAATCCGGGCCCGAAGCAACACGTAGGGTTTGGTTCGGCCCCAGACCCCTGCGAAGGTGTCGGGTCTGACCCCTGCCATGGAGGGCCCTTGCAAGGATTCTGATGATCAGCGCAAAAAGCGGCTCCACCATACCTTCTTGGGTCAATTCCACTCAGGCTTCCCTCCGTAGGCCGCCCTGTTGCCGTCCGCTTTAAGATGTTATGAGATGTTTCCCGGCATCGTATTGACCACGTATACTTCGTCCGAGTCCCCAGGAATGGGACCGGATGTCGGACACGAAAAACACCCCGAACACCCCAAGTCCCGGCCCATGACAGTTCAGGGAAATCCATAGCTAGCCATGCTGCCTGCCGAGATCCAGTGCAACGGCAGGCACCAGCAGCAAATCCAGATCAGTTGCTTCGATCCGGGGAAAGGTCTCCTGCGGAGCAAACCGGTAAAGTCAATGGTACAAAACTTGAACGATTGAGATCAATTGTGACCTTTGGTAAATTTTAGTTTTGTACAAAACTTGAGAGATTGTGACAATTGAGAAAACAACATTACCCGACCTGCCCTGGCTGTTCAGTCGACCGGAGGGGTCGCCATACACTCTTGGACAAGTGACATGTCCGTCTAAAGCTACTTGGCATGGCTGACTCGCATCCGATCCTAGGTGCAGGCAAAGAGCTTGAGGCAGCTTGAGGTTGCAACATACATGTGTGTGTGTGTGTGTGAAGTTCGAGCTTTTCGCCCTAGACAGAAGGTGTGGGCGTTCAGGCGGCAAGGCGGCGGGACCCCGTGCTTGTGAGTGCCTGTCGAAGATATGAACATTAATTGACCCAGACACGACGACTAATGGGACTGCCATATGGGCCGATCAGTTCGGGGTGCTTGCCAGGGGGTCAATGTATAGGCATGCATAATACGGCAGTCCCAGACCAGACAGGTCGCATCTGGGCTAAGCGGCAGTGACCGGATTCCGGTTTGGACGTTTGGACTTCCGCCGAATTCACCACACGTCGCGATGCGAAAACCGCCACCGCGGACCGTCCGGTCCGACCCCTGTGTGTCCCCCGGTCCGGAGGCTCAGGTATCTTCCACTTGGACAAGGGCAAGGTGGACCTCAGGGCGTACCCAGCGGGTCAACGCACCAAACAGAACCAGTTCTTGAGTAAGGCACCAGTTTAACCGGTGCTTTAGCAAACTGGGAGCCGGAAGCTTGAAAAGGCTGTGACAAACCCGTGAAAGGCACATTGTTTCACCCGCGAAAAGCCGGTGAAAACAGGGTGAAAGGCCGTGAAAATTAGGTCTTGGAAGTTGGGAGGTGAAATGCGTCCTGAAAACGCCTGCCGCGCCAGTTGACCCGTCCTCTGGAACTTGCGGAATCGGTGTGTGAATCCGTCAGAAATCGTCCACCCGGCTGCCCAGCCTTGTGTGAATCAAACAAACACATGGTTTGACTGTTTCACTAAAGATCTGAGGCTACAGAACCAGGTCAACCATTCTGTTACAAGTAATCTTGGAAGGCTAGGGCTGAGGGCCGAGGGCCAGGGTGTTAGGTCCTGAAACAGGGTGACTGTGGTATCTACTCTCAAACACATACTCTGAACATGGATGCAGGCCAAAGACATCCAAAAAGACAATTGAATCCAAGTGTTTACAACTTGTCGTTTTGCAACCTTTGCACTTGTCGCTGGGCGATGGGTTGGACACTCAACATCGGAGGCGTATCAAAACCAAAGCCCTAAACCTATATTATATAGCTCCAGTGGTACCGAACCTGAGAAGCTGGGACTGGGGTCCCGGGTGCCAGGGTCCGGGTCCAGTCACACCGAACCTGAGGAGGTACAGCTGGAGGCCTAGGGAAACTGCAAACACCCTTTGAAAAAACATAACTTCCCACTGCCGTGGGGACTTGCGTTTCGCAACATCTCTTCCCATCCCGGTGGCGCGCGGGGCGAGCGGTGACGCGCCCGCGCCACGGACGCTGACCGAGGGGCGCCTCTTCAAGGCTTCGAACCTCAAAGAACTCCATCCATGCCTCTGAAAGGCTGCAGAAAGTGCTGCCATAACTGTTTTGTTAAGACGTCATCAATGACATGTTACAATAATCAACAACCTTGCCAAAGAAAAGGTTAAATACCCTAACAAGTGGAAGACAGTTTTGAACGTGTTGTACTTCAAATACACTCTAGAAACACGCCCAAGAAATCAAAGAAAGACACAAAACCACACAAACATACAAACATAGAATAAACAACCTAGACACACCTTGAAAAATCCTTTAGAAGTAAAACAGTGAAACATAGTGAAGCACTTTAAAACGATGCAGCCGGAACCTATGTTAAAAAACAATGTGTTCCAGAATTGAACTTTGCACAGCATCTTCATAGGAATAAATAGCTGGAAACATGTGTGAACAAAAACAACAACAAAAAACCTAGAAATACACCTAGAAAACAATCTAGAAACATTTAGACATATTAAGAGTGAAACGCTCTACCTATGTTTAAAAACAGTGTGTTTCAGACTTGAAATTTGCACAGCATCTTCATACATGGAAAAATCCATGAAATGGTTGACATCCCTGCGCGTCTTGCACAAGGAACAAATCCTTATCAACAAAAACAATTGGCTCGGTTCCACAACTTTGAATAAGCCGCTTGTGGAAAAACTTGAAGCCTACTCATAAAATGCCCAATTGTTTCACATGTAAAGTAAACGTTGTTGTATGTTCCTCCAGAACTTTTGAATCAACCCTACATTAACACAAACTTGAATTAACATATGATGTTAACCCAACTTTAACTTTTAGCTGATTTATCTAACAAAAAGCAGGCCTCATTGCAGTGCAGGTGTTATGTTCAGTGCTCTTGGTCCCCCCTGCATGGTCAGTGATATGCTATCCTCACCTGTCCTCACCCGAATAAACCAGTTTTCTGTGGACCCGCCGTGTCCATCGACACAGCCGATGAAAGCGAAGCAAGCAATTCTCACGAAGACGACGAGCTGAAACTTAAGCCGTTGGTCTAGGAGCCTAACGGATCTCGATATCAGAAACACCACAACGACACACGTCGGACCAACACCTCCGAAACTCCCCCAACGCCTCACTCTCCGTCGCTTTCATGACCTCAGCTCCCAAAACCCAGCGCGTGTTGGGAGTGAGCATCGCATGAAAAACAGCATTCCTTGGGGGTTCTTGCTACGTTCGTAGTAAGGCCAGGAGCGCCCCGTTCGTCGCGTCCGATCGCTCCGTTCGTAGGGATGCCCCTTAAGGTTACGTTCTTAGCGAACCTTGTTATGATAATATATATATATATTGTTCTTTCCCCGAGCTTCCCATGACTCGCTGGTTCCCCCACCTGGTAGTCATGGTTCGCCACCTCTAACTTGCTGCGAGGGTGAGTTTTCAGGGGAAGTGCCAATTATTTGTCTACTAATACTTGGGAGATTCATCTATATTCTTCCCACCTGGAGCCAGCATCTCCTCTCAGGGCACTCACACAACTTTGGTCGTCTCCGAGACGTCTCCCCTCCCAACTAACACGGACCCTGACAATGGAAGCCTCAAAACATTCATGACAAAGAAGTTCCAGAACACCTGCAAAGTACAGGATACTGGCACGGCACCTTGTCCGCTTCCGTTCCATGTGCTCCCTCTTTGCAACATGCATGTATGGAAAAGGATGGAAAAGGACTCTCAGGAACAAGTCACAGTTCGATCACCAAAAAGGGGTGGGTGGGAGAGCAAAAACTGAGTTTCTCCCCCCGCCTAAACCTCCCATCTTCCTCCATGTTCCATCCCCATCTACCGAGCCACTCGGGGGCAGTAGACCCGCTTCCCCGCACTCAGCGCGGCGGCCAAGATGGGCGTGGTGCGCAGCTCGCCTTTTGGCATCGCCAAGAAGAGGCCGATGCTCCGACTGGCCGCCCAAGTCCTGCTGCCAAGTGACGGGTCATCACTTGGAGGCGAAGGCCAAGCGACGACCACGCGTGGTAGGAGGTAGGAGGGTAGGAGCTAGTTTCGGGTCGTTGGTTGGAGCTAGTCGTCTACTTCGTAGGCTCTTGTTGTGGAGGGGGTGGACGGGGGGTCGAAGACCGAAAATTTGTTTGGCAACACATTGTTGTGAAGAGATGGCCATGAAGTGACAGGGATTCAGAGGTTTCTTGAACTATCAACAGTAATAATATGTTTGCACCTCCCCGTCTTTGACACATCCTTGCACATCTCCATCTTCCCGAACAGTAGCTTGGTGATGTATTTTGCGGAACATGTTTAATGATGTCTAATTAGTTCGCATCAGCCTTGGAGGGAGTTCAATGGACTATCCACTGTCTGAACACAAATGTGTTTCAATCCCAAATCCAACACCGATTGAAACAAGTCAACCATTGGTTCAAAAAAAGCAAAACGAAAAGACAACATTCACGCAATCATGCAAAGCATCGTCTGCCAGTGTCTGTTGAACCTCCCGACCACCACGCGCCTGCTTCGCGTCAAGCGCTCACACACTGCCTCGCTCTGACGGTTCAGCTCGTTGTCCTCGAGAAGTTTCCTTGGACTGTTCGGCTCACGGTCAACATGCACAACAACAGACCCTCAACACCTGAAAAAGGGAGGTTATGATTCGGGTCCTTGGTATCTCATGCAAAGTGCGTAAGCGGGTATAAACAAAAAAAACAAGGAACAACACGGTTGATGCACAGAAGTCCCATCGGAGATGGCTCCAAATCACGTTTCCCATGCGTCCCATGCGTAGACTAGTTATATAATATAAGTTGATTGATCACACTCAACGATTTCTACTTGTGTCTAATCTTTTGATGCTTCTTGGAGACACGGTTCCTGCGACTACTTTATGGCTGTGTAGGGCCCAAGGGCGCAAAAAAGGGGATCAACCTTGCCAGCTCTCGACTGTTCTGTTCAGGCTGTGAACTGCACAGAAGACCGTCATGATGATAATCATCATCACCATCAACATGCTCGCCACTACCACCATCACCAGCATCACTGTTATCACCACATCAGCATCATCGTGCCACCAACATGATCAGCACACAAACAGTATAGTAATTAATAGCAATAGTAATAATAATCCTAATCATCATCATCATCATCATCATCAGCAGCAGCAGCAGCAGCAGCTGCTGCTGTGGTTTGTGCGGATTCCGCCCAGCTTCAAGCGTCCCCGCACCTGCTTCCGCAGCGCCGTCTTCAAGTCGGCCATGGGGCGACCGGAAAACTGTCCCGGGCGATCGGTGAACCTGAACGATAGCAAATCAACAAACCCTATGTTTTTCTTCATACGGGTCATAGGCTAGGTTGAGAGAGCTACCCATAATTAGGCAAAGTGATGCAACATTCGAACGTCGCCGGACAAGACAACATAGGTAAGACTGGGTTTCTTCAAGCCCAAGAAACCTTTGGAGCTTGAAATTTTGACTGACGCCCCCAAGGTTTCCTGGGGAGCACTATCACATTCATTGAATACACCAAAGCGGGTTGTGTGATTGAATTCACTGGATTTGTTGTATTGTATTGTTTCGTTTTGGGTTCTAGGGCCCTCACACCGGAGGGGAGTCCATTCCTTTTCATTCCTTTCTGGGGAGGTTGACCACATGACACTGAAGTGAGATCGCTTTCAAAAGCGCTCGCGCTGAGTTTAACTTTAACATACTTTAACTATTTGTGTGCTTCAACTTGATGCATGTTGCATGCTGAATGGATGGCAACGGCTAAGCAACAATGGGGGGCGTTTGGCATCGTTTGTGTGGAACCTGCTAGCAACGTTGAATTCCATGGACTCTTTGACCGACTTCAAATCGGCTAAAAAGTCCCAAGCAAACATCGGAAAAAGGTCCCAAACAAAAGGCCAAGCAAAGGGAGTCTACAGATTGAAGACAGAAACCAATCTTGAAATCTCATTGGGATTGGGTAGCCAAGGGCCATCCCCACATGGAGAAATGAGTGGTTGAACACTGGTTTCCATCCCCATCATATAGGGTCACTTCATCAGGGAGCTATCGAGGTCCATGAAGTGTTTACTCCATGTCTTGACGCTACTAGGAGCAAAGGGCATCGCTACGAACGGAGCAAGGATGCTACGAACGGGGTTCCTGGGCGAAGGCCCAGTACCCAGCGGACGACTTTCAGCTCCACCGGTGTGCCCTGTTTCTTGCTCCATTGGTGGTTGAAAGAGAATAATTGAAAGAGAATCAAGTGTCATGTAACAGTCTATGATTGACCGTATTTTAAACACACTCTCACACACTAGAATAGTTTTGCATATCCACATGGGGCTACAAACATGTTAAGTTAAGCAACCATCTACCTTCGAGTGGCACCTTTCCACACTAACTGTCAAACCATCCACGCCACTTCAAGTGGCACTGAGTTCTGCACTCCAAGCCCTTCAGCTCGATATGCACCTCAAGCGCTGCCACTCTGCTCGTGGCTTCATGAGATAGGTCTATGGCTTCAACGACCGAAGTGGCGTGCAAGTATAGTTATCACAGGAAAGAAGTGTGTTCCATTGTGTTCCTGAGGCTTGGTTTCTCACATCTTTTCTTATTCAAATGTTCGGACAACAAAGACCCAGCCGATCCAGCCGATGGCTCAAAACCTGTTTCTTCTACAACCAAACAGGAGCCCTGTTAAGGGGGGTTCATCATGTAATGTTTCACCAGTCCTTTTTGATCATCACCACGTCGAAGCAACACCTCTGCCACTGGCGACTCCGCAGACATGCACTTCAGCCAAGGAGGCTCTTGATTAAAGTGACACCCCATGTGAAGAGGCCGCAAGAGGCCTTTCAATCCATGTCTGGGCTGGGGGTATTCATCAAGAGTCTGGCACCGGGCCACCGCCCGAAGCAGCTGCGAGCGTCTGGAGTCGGTCCTGATCGTTGAGCTTCCAATCCTGTTCTGGACTTCAAGCCAATCGGCCCTTCCCCTTCCCAGGCCTTCATCACCAGCGATTCGCTGGTCACTCGTGATCAGAAGTGGACTCCTGGTGGACGTCGGTCGCCCGCATTGGTGCGCGTCGAAACCTCCGTCTTCGCGGAGCCTGCCAGGAGCGTGGCGGTTGCCATACATGAAAGCGCGTGGCCGATGGACTGCGCCGAATGGCGTGATGTCCAACACTGGATGGACTGCGATGGACTGCGCCGAAGCTGCACCGGACGCCTTGTTTTTGGTCGTTAAGGGTGCCTAAAGGGCAACAAGGCGCTGCTGTCATACACCAAGCGGTGCAACTGCTTCCTTGGGTGTTTTGCTTCGTTCTGTTTGTGAGAGGCGAAATATAACTGCTTTTTATTGATGTGGCTGAGCTGCATTATGCTGATGTGTAGTTCTCCTTGTGAAAGCAAACACCATGCAGGATATCCATGCCTGGCTAGTGGTGAGTGCGCGTACCGCCCAGTACACACACCCTTTGACCTGAACACAGTCTAGAATCGTAATACGAGGTGATTGGTGTCCAAAAGCCGGGCTTGGTTTCGGTCCGACTGTGGCATGTGTGTTTCGTCCAGGTGTAGTAGGATCAAGGGGTGACATGTTGCTCCCGAAGCTCGGTCCGAAGCGCAGGTCACCATGTTTAACCGGTCAAATGCAGCTGTACCTATATATTAATGGTGCTCAGTGCTCAGTGCTCAGTATATATATATATTACATATAAATGCTACGCTGCCTTTTTTGCTGCTTAGTTTGATGCCTTCATGCCCCCGAAGCAGAATTATTGAATCCCCTGCGCAACCGCTGATTCTTCTCGAGCCCGGTCAGCCAGCAATGAAGCGGCCTCTCAGAGACAGCTGACGAACGTCAACCTGATTCCAACAAGTCCAGCGCAATCAAATTTAATACGAGTTGAGATCACCAGAATCCCTGATCACCTCCTTGTATATTAGATCTCCATTGACACAAACATCAAAATGAAGGATGTCTCATGAAAATAGCCGGGAATCCAGACCCATAACTGGTCAAGTGCTGTATATAAAATAAATATAATTACTAAACATGTTTCCTTGGGACTTACAAGCTGTGAACCGTCAAAGGCTCACTTAGCATCACTTAACTGTCCCTCATCCTAACTCGTGCTAACTCTACAGCTTGGTGATCACGTGTGCATGATCAGGGTCCCAAACATGCGAACGGTCTTCAAGCAGTCGCACGGCAGCGCAGCACGCCGCGGTGCGGACTGCCAGTCTGTGATCCAGAGACGGATCATCGAGGTCCGATAGGCCTGGCCAGGTCGTTCTGAACCTTGACCGCACGGCCGGAAGTCCATGATCTCAGCTCTCTGCGCGCAGAGCGGAGCATGGTCGTCGAGACCAAAACAGGGAGTCCGTCAAGAGGGAAGTGGATGGCGAGTTCCACAAGTTTCAACTGTCGAACAAACTGAATGTCCAAACCAAAAACCCGACAAAACAAAGAAAAGAGATCACGAAGATACCTGATGGTACTCGCAACCGTCCGAGAAACATGTGAAGTCGCCAGGGCCGAATGATCCATCAACCATTTCTGGCCATTCCCAAAAGAGACCGGATGTGGGATTGAAATACTCACCTCCCTGAACATAAAAATCAGTTCAAGCCACGAGATGGCAAACAACGGCGAGCCCTGTGCTAACTCGCGAAATTGCCATTGCAAAACAGCGGCCATAAACTCTGGACACCATATCGTGAAAACAGACTTGTTGTACAAGTCGAATTCCCAACTCTCACTAAGGCCTGGTAGCCAGGAAACATCTTCCAGCGGCACCGGCGAGGGCCAAGTCAAGTCGGTGGCGTCATCATCAAGTGCCGCTGCAGCGGAGGGCTGCTCGGAGTGAAGTCGCTCAGCAACATCAAGGTGTAGGGCTCGAAGACACTTCAACTGGGCTCGTGTCCGAGTGATCCAAGCCCTATGCTCTGCCCACCACTCCCAAAAAGCTGGAGTACGGCTCTGTCTGGCAGCCAACGCGGCCTGATCAGCCTTGTCATTCCAGTAGGTGCACCAATCATCAACGTCAACGATCAATTCAGGCAAGGGGCCATGGGACGGAATGTGGACAACTTGAAAATCAGCTGCCAGGCCCGAAAGCTCCAATCTCATCATCATCTTCATCATGATACTCCGGCGAGATAGAGGCTGTCTCACCTTCATGCAAGCGTTTGCGCCCTTTCTTCTTTTCTGAATTCTTGTTCGTACCCGCGTAAGTTCTCAATCCACCTTGTTCATCAAAGGTCATCGCTAGTTTCTTGATCTTCTTTGTGGGATTCTTCTTGGCTGTGCTATCCCAAGTTATGTCTTTGAGTTGCAATGGCTGCTCTTTCTCTTTCTCAAGGCGGTCCTCCGCCCGCTTAATTTTGGCCTTGAGCTTTTCTCGAGAGCCCCGTTTGTTTACTGTGAATGCCGTCAAATTCCAGGCTTGCAAAGCCTTCTCCAGTTGCGAATTGTTGACTTTCGAGCTTTTGACAGCACTAAAATGCTGTCTGATATTTTCGACCGTTGCCTGATTTGTCCTCATGAACTTGAGGTCAGCCGGCGCGCTGATCTGCACGGACTCAAGGATCTCCTTTCCTATAGCTGCTGCTATGTTGAGTCTTCTGGCTGAAGCTCGCAGGCTCTTCAACTGCGTTGCCTCTGAAATGGCCTCAAGAGAGGGCACCTTGTTGCGCGTGCGCAATGTTGAAATGAGTGCCGGGTGCATCAGATGTCTTACCTCCAACAATTTGGATAAGCCCTAGTACACTGTAGCCATGTCCGAGTACAGCGTAGGCACAGACAGATATACAAGTTTGGTCTTGACGAGCTCAGCCCTCTCGACAGACCGCACTAGCGACCTTGCCATGGCTGGTCCTACCTCAACCTTAAGCAAGAGAGCTGGGTGGCCTGGCAATACGACCCATGGCCTTGTGATCTGCTTCATTGAGAAAAAGGATCTGACCAGTGGCGTCTTCCCCAACTTGATGTAGCTGCATTGGGTGGCCAGGTCTTGACCCAATTCATGCCTCCGAACCGACTTCACCATCAAATACAACGCATCTCGGTGCGCCTTGGTGCGAATGTCAAGGCCGAGTTTGAGTGCTACGGTCTCGGTAGACACGTCAATTGCAAGGTTCTCAGATCTGTTCCTGACAGTGGCCGATCCTCCGCTTCCTATGGCTTCGCTTGAATTGCCCGCCAGGGCTCCAAGAGCGTGAACCCTTGCGTAGCCAAGAGCCCCTATTGATGTCAATAAGGAACATGCTGCCTTGAGGTTCTTTTCAGAAAAGAGCGCCTGAGTGCTCTTAGACGCAGCTGC